TTCTCTTGGTTGTAAGAAAGTACCTATCAACCATATTGGTCACTGTATTAGTAATTTTCCCATCGCTGGGAGAAAATACCCAATACTTTCAACTTAAAGGAGAGGTTTGTTTCATTCAGTTTCTAGTGGGTTCAGTCCATGGTTAGCTGGCTCCAGGCAGAAACAACACAGTGGAAGGGCATGGTGGAGGAACATGCTCAACCCATGGAATTTAGGAAACAGACAGTGAAGGAATAAGCCAGGGACAAGAGTATACCCTCCTATGTTATGTTCCCTAGTGATCCACCTCCAACCAGCCTCTTCATCCTAACAGCATCTTCACCCATGAACACATCAATGGCTTAATCCACTGATAAGTATGTATCGCACCCCTATAACCTAATCACTTTACAAAAGCCCCACCTCTGAGCAGATGAGACTTTTGGGAGACATTTTAGATCTAAACTACAACAATCACAACTGAGAAAAAAATATCTAAAGTGATCCGAATATATTCACTATTATAGCATGCATAAAAAATTACTTCAGAAATGAGCAAGTGAAAAGATCTAGAAAAAAACTCTTGCCTGGTGTGGTGTTCACACTTATAATCCTAGTACTCGGGAGGCTGAGGCAAGAGGATTGCTGTGAGTTTGAGGCCAACCTGGACTACACTGCGAGTTAAATAGCCAGACCCTGTCTCAAAACATTTTTTAAAAATCCTTATTGGGTCACAAGGTGATACTCAGACTGTTAAACTACTTTTGAGACAGGGCCTTGCTATGCAGTGCAGGCTGGCCTTGAGCTCACTATGTAGCCCAGGCTGGCTTCAAACTCACAGAAATCCTTCTGACTCAGCCTCCTGCATCCTAAGACTACAGACATAAGCTACCATACGCATTCAGTTAAACTACGTTTAAATTTTCTCTCAAGTGGATTCCCTCCTACTACCTATGGTTCTTTGTCACTCTTTTGCTTCCCCTTCTGCTACCAACCCCTGAGTATCATATGATCTTTTTTCTCTCCTGTTTCACTGAACACCATCCAAGAAGGTCACATCTTCTGAGACTATCACAGGAGTACACAGATTGGACTCCTTATATTTATAATATGAACACTATCAGATTTAATGTTTTTTCTGAAGTATATTTCCCGTTTTCTTGACTGTATAAAAAATAATATAATAATCTGATTTAAACCATCTCCTACTTGAGCTGAAATCAAGAAGAAACAGTGTACACTGGTGTAAGAGAATGTCTTTAGATAATAGCAAATAGTTATGTGAGAACAAATGGAAGCAAAGTTAGCATAATTCCCCTATTGAAAATTATCCTAGTGTTTAGTAATATTGTATACATTGTTCTGAATATTTAGTCAATAAGCTTTGCTTATTTTTTGGATCTTTCAGCACAGAGAATGTTATCACAAATATCAATATATGTTATCCATTGAACTAATATGCAAACTGCATTTCTGTAAATCGAAATGTATTTTTCTTTGTATTTATATGTACTAAGTGTATTTATATGTACTAGGAAAATTAACTTTTAAATATAAATTTTTGTTCTATTTTTTTACTCATAAAATTTCTTACTTTTTTGCATATTTTTTGAGATAGGGTTTGCTGTATAGCGTAGGCTGGCCTTGAACTTACAATCCTCTTGATTTAGACGCCAGAGGGCTGGGATTAGAGATATATGCAACTATGCCCAGCTTTCACAGACATTTCATGAATTAAAACAGCTGGAATTTTATGATACTTTGCCAATATTTTCTTTGAATCAAATACAGTCCATATCCTGTACTACCATTATCGGATATTCTTATAAGAATCATTTTATTTATTGATTTGAGGAAAGTCAGTAAAATTATAGTACCTCAAACATAAATTAAAATTTTGAAGCACTTGCTTTTTTTGCAAAAGAGTGGGTTAAACTAATTACTAAAAACCCTCAAATAGTTTAATATGGGAAAATATGATTATTGATAACCAAATTGACTTACTAATAGGTTGGGTTTGATGTTAATAATAATGTGTGAATTTTGATGCTATTAAATAGAGTAACACATATAACAATGTAGTATATACAGAAATTGACCTTAAGCACTATTAACTGAAATGAATCTTATATCAGGATTGCAAAACTTCTCAAATTTCTCTGTACAGGTGTTTCCTTGGACCTATTATATTTATTTGAAACCCTGAATACTACTTTGTTGTCCTGGTAATGTATTTACTATATTTTTAGCTGTCACTATTTGTTACCCATCAACCATAAAACAGGGCAGGAAAAGCCACTGAAGTGTGAAACAGTCGTAATCAAGTACTTCTAAACCAGTACTTTATATAATATTACACAGTTCATAAAGATTTTGAGTACAATTAATCCAATAGTTAAAAAAGACACAGAACCATAAACTTTATTCTAATTATCTACCAACCTAAACTCTGAAGTAAAACATATTAACAAGTCAAACTAATAATAAATTTTTGTGTCAATCCTCCAAACTCTACATTTACTTTGTTCTCCCACCTAGTGAAATACCCACTACTTAAGAATGCCTTCAATATTGTAGACAAACTTTAGTTATGTATTTGCATGTTTTAATAACAAGTGACTCACTTTTTTAAAAAGTTTATTTTTTTCAGTTTTTATTTCTTATAACTAGTATGTTATGTAAAGCCTGTGCATAAATTTCCTAGGTAGGCTATTGCTTTTTAAAGGAACTACTTCACCAGAAATTTTGAAGAGATATTTTCTTGTAATACATATAATTTATATAGTCAGGTTTCCCTTATCACCTTTTCTTAGAATAGGACACACTGGTAGTGCAACACCTACCTTTCCGAATCCCATCCAAAGGCTGGTTTTAAGTAGAAGATAATTTATTTTATTATTTATTAGAAAAATAAAAATATTAACAAGAAAAACCTCTAATCAGTATTATTACTTATTGGTTGGTTTTACTCATTTCTATGACAGAATTTTTTAAATGTTCATGCATAGAGACCACAACATGGGTAAGGCTTATGATACTCAATTTTATACAAAGCCAGCCAAGCAGGGTAGATATTTTAGAGATTAGAGCAGTTAGGCTAATATGGTTCCTCTCTTCCCCTCATCAATAGAGAATATTATTAACAGTTATTATTACTGACAGTTAAATGCATGGTTAAAAACTATGGAAGTTTATTATCCTTGTTGAACCTAACTGGTGACCAATTAATAATATAAAGCTCAGTGTCTGGCATATAGAAACTGTTCAATACATGCTCATATGGTTATTCATATTAATAAACACTAGCTCATACTTCAGCTGCTTTCTGTGAACATGGAATCTTCCTCCTAAGTTCCATATCTTCAAAATTACCCTAATCACTAATACGTGCTGACATCACTGAAAAATCTCCCATTTTAAAAACTTTTTTAAAAGACTTTTCCAGATCTAAAACACTAAAGTGATTAAATTATGGGGTCTGAAAAGCTGGTCTTTATGATGTCTTAATGAAATGCCCAAACCCATAAATGTGTTCCAAAACTATATCTTTTATGAGGATTTTCTAGACTGATATACACTGTTAAGACATGAGTCATCTTTTCATGGGGAAACTGATGGAAAAATAGCTAAATGATTCAGCATGCTGCAGCAAAATGAGCTGGTCATGAATTTATAATTTCTACTTCACTCAGGTGTCCTACCCCTGGAGGCCTCTTACCCTGCATTGCATGTATAACGTATGATATTGTAATCGATAAATTTTGTTAAACATTCTCTCAGGTAAGGAGTGACTTTTTTTTTCTTCTCAGAAGAACTTCTAGAATAAAAAAAATTACCCAGTGTTATGAGACAACAGATCACAAGGCTGAACAACTCTTACAATGTCCAGTTGTAAGCTTTCTCAAGCTTTGCTTGTGTGGATGATAAGGCTGGAGTTGGTTTTAACACTGGTGCCATTTTCTCAGCTGCACAAGAGACAGTGGGGGATGGACTGACGCTAAAGAAAACCAGAAAATGGGCAAAGGAAGCCAGGTGGGGAACTGGGCATGATTACACCTGTGTCTCTCATGCCAAAAACATAACCAAAGATCCTAAGCAGATGAAAAAGACTGACCAAAACAGAAAACACCAAAATATATTCTGATATAACCTTACTTATAAGGAGCCTCACTACCCAAAGCAAGTGAGTTTTTATTGTGTCCTTATTTACCCTTCATAGTAACCAAAGATTTATGTTAAGCAAATTTAAAAATTCAGAAATGTGTAGATTCCAAACTAGAATAAAGTCTAGTTTATTCACATAACCAATATGAAAAAAAAGACAACTAAAATTGCACCATCTCCAATGGTGAGAAAGTAGATCCACTTTGTCATTACAGAAGTCACTACACCCAGCATTTTCTGAGAATGAGACGAAGAAGTGTGCCAGGATGTGTAAAATAAAATTGCCATCATCTAAGAAGTGTCATTTCCTCATTTGATATCTTGAAGTAATTTCAATTTGGTGTGGTGCATCTCACCCACACATACACAGACACACAAACACACATACACACACCCTCCCTCAGCCGCAACACTGAAAAAGAGTATACCATTTTAGAGTTAATCAAAATGTATATAGGAACCAACTAGGTGACAAGTCTGACATTCCCTGAATTCATCTTTTCCCCCGTTTTGACTGATTTCTCTTAACCTGGAGGAGGGAGTGTAATTAAGAAATAGGAGACGAAAAGCATCTAATCCAACATTTGTACAACTTCGTGAGAGTGTGTGTGTGTGTGTGTGTGTGTCCCATCCACGGAGATCTTGGAGGTCAACAGAAGGAAAACAAGGCTCAACAGGCAAGGTTCCAGGGCTGACCCAAAGCAATACCTCCACAGTTGGAGATTTCCAGCTCAGCAGCAACCAGAGGGGGATTTCCAAGGGCTGCTGCATAACCCACTGCCAGCCCAGGCCATGAGTGCTGGCATCCTAGGCGCCTCTGCCGCACAATTGTCCCACTTATACAAAGAGATGCTTACAGTCCAGGTGCTTCTTCTTGGGGCCCATCACCTCATGAGTGGTGGCTTTGCAGACTGCTCTTGCTACCGCAGAGCCTGTCACGCTGTACTGAGCGGCAGCGATCCTATCTGTGAGCGTCTGGCCCGACATCTTCTCCAGCCCTGTCTACTGCCTCCTCTTCTGCCTGAAAAAAGGAGAGATGGTCCCGCTTTCCACACACCCTACCTTCAGTGCACCCAGGCCTTTCCTCCTCCAGCCGCATGGCGGCTCTCTCCTCCTCCGACCCCGCCCTGGCACCACCTCTCGAGGCCAGCCGAGCTTCAAGCCCCCAGCTCCATTAACGCGGCCCACGGGGTGCTAGCCCTGAGTGCGGCCTTTAGGGAACCCCGGCGTGGTCTTCATTTCCCCTCATCCGCATGCACTTCTCAACTGCCTTTCTGTCAAGGAGCACTTTTCCTGCAACCCGATTCCCGGTGCTGGACTAGCCCCAGCATGCGTCGGGGTTTTTCCTTGGGCATAGCGCCCACCGGTCGCCCACCTCCCACCTCCCACCTCCAGCGCCGCAGTGTTTCTTCCAGGTTCTCTCCCTCAGGCCATGGAGAGTGAATCTAACATCCAGTGCTGGCCACTTCCCTCCTCCCATTGGAGCTGCTGCAGCAATGGGCTCGACCTCCCTCGTTCGCGCTGGAGATTATCCTAATGTTGCGCCATATTATACCCTCGCCCGGTGTCTCCAAAGCCTGCCGAGGCCTCCGCCCGGGCCCCCTCCTCCGCCAAATCGCCGCCGCAGGGGCCGCCCGGGTCT